CTGTTAGGGACAAACTAGCAGATGGGATGTTCCTCTGGCTGGTTGGATGCCCTGCACAGGAACAGCGACTCTGGCCAAGGACTGCAGCCCAGAGTAGGTGTGCCATCTGCCAGATGTGCACATGGTGGGGCACCGGGTCCTGTGAAGCATGTCTGAAATTCTGAGACACTTCCAGACACTGTGGCCCTGCGCTCCAGCCTGGGGAGTGTGGCTGGCCAGGGGCGTTTGCCTGAGAGGGGAGAAAGCAGCTGGCGTGCGCTGCCTCTTTGTTTCTAAGGTTGAAAAGACCCTACATGGGCCATGACTGCTCTTCTGTATCCGATCATGAGCTCTGAAGGGCTTCCTTCTGTTCCTGAGTAAAGACTAAGGGGGGAAGGAAGTGGGTGTGAGTCTTGTCCTGAGGACTATGGGATGATGAAAGAATTCAGAAGTAGCTGGACCTGCATCCAGAAAACTTCAAGTGGTCTCACCTCCTCAGGAAGCCTTCTCTCACTCACTCTGCCTCCTTTCACTCAAACCTGTCAGGTATGTGTGGAATTGCTGAATGTTGAGGCTAGAAGGGATGTTAGTCCTCACCCTGTCTGGCGCCGGCCTGGAGACTGGGCGTGCTGGCTGTGGGGGTGCTCGGGGTAGCAGCTACAGCCCCTCTGTCTCTCGAGCTCACACGGCCTGCCTTTTATCCTGCTTTCTGCCAGGACCTCTGCTTCCAGTGGGGGCAGGTGCCAGTAGCCCGACAAGAAGGAAGTTCCGGGTCCTGGAAGGCTCTTAGCTCCACACTCCTCCAAAGGAATCCAAGAGGGATTGAAGCAAACTAGGCCAGAATGTTAGAATGCTGTGATGATAGACGATGGGATATGAGAACCACATGGTCCTAAAACAATAGGATGCTTGGGTCAAAGGACTTTGCAAGGTCAGAAGTTAGAATTATTTTCAGACTATAGCACGTGAGGGTTACAGAATGTGCGGTAACCTGTGGTAACCTCTGGCTCTCCGAGTTCGACATGAATGACCCTAGAGGTCTCCCTTGAGTCTGGCTATGTCTCCAGCCCAGCACTGCCAGTTCTGACATTACTCATGCTGTTCCAGGCTGCAGGATGGTTGCACAAGTAAACACGTCCTGAGAAAGCCCAGTTCCCTGGAGCTAGGGACAAAATTGTCATTTTTGTCTACTGCCTGGGACTGAGACACCCCCGTCCCCACTCCCCGAGGCCTGGGGTCCAGCAGATGCCATGTGACTGAATGGAATGAACTCGATTTTGGGTGATTTGGTCCTGGATGTCTTTATAGCACATTCCTAGGTGTTGGCAATCCTGAGGAGGTGTGTGCCTGCCCTGGAGTAGTTCATATACAGTGGGATGCTCACTGAGCAGGGGGTACTAGGATAAATTCAGGAAGTGGCCTGGAGGGCAGCATCCTCATTTGCACCCCAGCTGTTCAGTGTTGCTGTAGGAAATCTTACAACCTGTGTCTTGAGATTACTGCAGGTTCATGGGTCCTCACTGCCAGTCAGCATCGCCTGTGTTCTTGGCAGACAGAGCAGGTATGTGACAGGCATGTGCCCTAATCCTGATCCACAGCAGGCATCACTAATCAATCAGGGCCTCTTCTCTGCTGAGCTCTGATGTGTGTTATCATCCCACTTTACATCCTCCCACTCCAGGCAGCCACTACCAATCAATCACAGTTGGCCCATGCTATGAATCTATTTAACTTCTGGTCCGTGTCAGTTCTTGTGGCCAATCTTGAATTTGTGGCAAATGTTCTCTTCTCTTCACACTAAGAATCTCCCATCTTCCTCCCTTTTCTCTGCAGATTACTTCACATTTTACTTTACAGAGGGGAGCTCTTGTGAGAAGCCATCAGTTGAGACCTCTCTTGCCTTCTAGCCTGCTGGCCTGCTCCCTCCTTCCCTTTGATTACAGGGGGAGGATGGCCTCCTCTACTGAAGGCCACACCCTCTGCCTGAGCTCTGGTCACGCCCCTCCGGCCTTCTCAGAGCCCTGGGCTAGTCATTTGTTCCCACTCTCTCTCCTGTATCACCCTCCCTCTAACTCTAGTCTTTCCAGCCTGTGTTAAATATGCTCAGTTCTCTCCTATCTGTAGAGAAGGTGGGTGGGATAATACAGTAACCAACTTTTTATTTTGCCAAGTAAGCACTTGAAAAGCCCCATTTGTCTTATATCACCATTATTTTTTCAAAAGAACAGTTAAACTTCAAACACAGTAGAAAAAAAAGATCATTTCAGACTAAAAGATAAGCCAGCAAATTGCATAAACTTTGCTAATAAAAAATTACCCAACTTGTACTTATTTTTCTCAGTTATTTGCAGATCAGAGGAAATCCAAAAACCCACCTAAGATCTTCGGGGGCCCTTCAGGGTCAGCTTGTCCCTCTGCAGGATCCTGGCAGTCGGGAATCTGACCTCCCCTCCCCAGGGCTGGCTCACTCCTCCACAGCAGCAGCCTGGTTCCTTCCAGAACATTGATTCGCACACTCATCACAGATACCTCCCCGAGAGGCAGGGCTTCCATCCAGGCCCTCAGACATCACCCAGGCCTGCTCAGAGTTTGCACACATGCCTGCCCCCCAACTACCCCTGAACCTGCTGAAGGGTTCTTCTGCCGGCCTCTAGAGAAGGCCAAATAGAAACATCACAGACATGAGGAGAGTATTCTTTTGTGAGGTGCACCAGCTAAAAAGACAACCTCCCCACAAAATGGTGAGCATTTCTGGAAGTGTCCAGGCGAGGGCACCTGCACAGGAGAAATGGCCTTGTGGAAGCCACTCACCCTTTCTGGGCCTTGGTTTTCACCTGGAAAATGTGTGTATTAACACCCATCTTGTGGTGTTACTGTGAAGATCAAAGGCAATGTAATCCAAGAGGGTAGACTGATGACTGACACACAGTAGGAGTTTTATTATAAGAACCCCTCCACCCTGGTGCAGAGTTTTAGCCCTGTGATCTAAAATGAGTGTATCCAACATAATCATATGAGACGGGCATACTATCCCCATTTTACAGAGGAGAGGCTGAGGCCCATGGAGGTGAGATGGCTTTCCCAGGCTCACTTAGCAGACAGAGGTAGAGCCACACTTTACACCCAGGCATCCTGACTCCAAAGCCCTGACCCTTTGGCCCAACTCCCCCTGTGGAGCAGCACAGAGGAGGGGCCAGTCTGCCATCTGCACTGGAAAGGTCTGAATAGGCACTGGACGGGGTGTGGGGAGTGGGGGGGGGTTGGCACTGGGTGGAAGGGCAGGCACAAGTGCCACTACCCACCTCCTTTCTTAGCTTGCATGGCCCCTCCCCAGTGCTCCAGAGCCTGGAGCCTTCAGGGCCTTCACTGGCTTCTGAGGCGCAGAACCACAGCAGGGGCCCTGCTCAGACACCTGGCAAGGCTGGGCTAGCGTTGGGTGGGTGTCTTATAATTATGTTTCTGTTTCCCAAGCTATTTCCTGGGACACCCAATGAAACTGGTTCTGGGAGATCTATGCATGAGCAGACACACATGTGGGAGGTGGCTAGGCATATCTCCAGTGGCATAGACCCTCCCATCCTTCCTCCCACAGCCTTGGGGGCCCTGTGCCTTCTTTGAGGATGGGACAGAGGATGGATAACAAGAGTAAGACTGACTTAGGTCCCCAGGGCCCAATGATATGGGAAGGCCTGAGATGAAACCACAGAGGCAGCCAGACAGAGTTCGTGGCCTTAAAGAGACTGCCCCAGAGGTCCTGTGTGTCTGAGGCCATCATGTGCCTCTCCTCATCCATGTGCTGAGGGCTGCAGAGGCGGGAACACAGGCACAGACAGATGAACCCTAGCTCTTGCCCTTCAAGTATATGGGATTGAATGGCAGGAGCAGGAGGCAGGGGGAAGGTGGACCTCAAACAGTGGACATGTCCCATAACAAAATCAGGACCCTTCCAGGTCAGAACGACTGCTCAACTTGGTCTAACTCAGCCTGACCCAGGCAGACCCTGTGTGGGAAACAGTCCAGCGAAGGGGGGGTGAGAGGGCAGTGGCTGTGAGTGCTCACCAGGCCTCTTGCTTAATTCTCATGAAACAGAAGATGAATTTCATCAACCCAAACCGTGGTAACATGAAAAATACATGTTTGTTGTAGCTCTGGAGCAAAAGCTGACTACTAAAGGAGGCAAATGCAACCTCCTGGTCCCAACGTGGACATCACTGTCGTCAGCAGTGCCAGCACAGAGACAGGAAGAAAGAATTTGAAGAAGAAGAGGGATGGGGGGAAGGAACAGGGAGAGACGCTGAGCAAGCCCTGCATCTGGACATTGGGACTTCGCTTTGCACAAAGAGGCCAGAGCCCCCAGGAGAAGCATCCAGTTCATAGTCCACATTGGGATAATAAATCTTGTTGTAATTGTCATGATAATGATCATGATAATGGTAGTTCTTATTACTAGTATATGCCAGGCTATTTAAATGTTGTCACTAATTTCTACAACTCTTCTCCAAGATAGATATTTTCAATTCATCGAATAGTTATTGCTATAACTCATAGAGGAGGACTTGAGCCTCTGAGAAATTACCACCCAGAGGTCATGCAGCCTGGACAGGGCTGGGGCTGAGATCTGGAGGCAGGACTGGGGATACCAGAGCCCACCTCTGCTCACTAGGTCACATGGCCCTGGCTCTGCTGGAGGTGGGGGAATCCAAGGCTGGGCTGGGTAGTGGGAGCTAGCTCAGTTCTGGGCTCCCGACATGGCCTCCTGGGACATGAAGGGGCCACAGAAGCTGTCCTGGCCTTTGGCCGGGGCCACCCCCTTTACCACGGGGACTATAATGAAAAAACTCTTGACTAGAAGGATGAGAACCACTTTGGGTCCCAGCTCTGCTAAGCACGTTGTAACTTTCCCTGCCCCATTGCGGGCCACAGCTTTTCCCCTTTATGAAGCAGAGATCAGGAAAGGGTTTAGCAAATCTCCCAGGCCTTAGGAATTCTGAAAATAATCCCTTCCCCACTCCGGTCCAAACCTGCTCCGAAGGCAAAGAAGCAGATCTTGTCTTCGTTCTCCTGAAGAAGTGCCATGACCCTCTTCCCCATGCGCTCATTCCGCTTGTAGATGAGCTCCTGGCGGAAGTAGCTGTCGATCTCCTGGGCTGTCACCTGCTCGTGCGGCGGGAGCGTTGTGTTGATAAAGTTGGGCAGCTGTAAAGGTAAGACAGAGGCTGCCTTCAGTTCTTTCTGGAGCAAGGTTGGCTTCAAATACACACACAGCCCAGGTGGGCAAGCAACTTACCTTTCTTATGTCCCCACAGTGGGCTATATGTTTTTCATCAATTCCCAAACCCTTTGAGATGAGTGTGGTTATTCCAGCTTTATAAGTGAAGAAAGCAAGAATGGAAAGGTCCAGAGACATGTGCAAAGGCACATAGCTGGAAAAGAGGCCGAGCCAGGAAGAGTCCAGACTGCTGCCCTCCCACATGTACCCTTCCGTGTCTCTGCCTTGTTGAACCTCAGCTTCCAGGCACTGAGGTCCTGGGAGGCGGCCAGAGCTCAGCTGCTTCACTGCCCTCCCTTTGGCAGCCTGGCACTGGCACATCCGGGAAATTCTGTTCAGCAAGAAGGTGTGATTGGTCAGCTGAGCTGCCTGGTGTAGCAGAAAGGCCATAGGGTATGGGCTTTAGGCCCTGTTCTGACACTGTGTGACTTTGGCCAAGTTACTTAACTTTCCTGAGCCTCAGTTGCCTCATTTGTAAGATGGGGCTGACAATGATTTTTGGGGGTTACATGAGATGATGGCTGCTCTATGAGCCACGTTCAGCCCACTCCACCCTGCAGAGATGAGAGCAGGGGTCCTAACTTGGGTTTTCCCAATGCCTGAGCCTTGGTTGGCCACTGTCTGTTGCCACCACTATCTCTTCACCCCCAGCTCCATCACTTCCCGGGACATAACCAAACTCCTCCATCCTTCTTAGAAACTTCAATTCTAAGACATGGCTTTCTCCCATAATGGTGGCCTGTTTAGCAACCTGGCCTGGAACTATCCAGATTTCTCAGCTCTGGGCCCACTGTCCACACCCAGCCACATGACCTGGGGCCAGCATCACTGACATGTTCTTGAACTAGGCAGAGAGCAACTTGAGTTCAGGGGCAGAGCCTTTATCAATGCCTGGAACAGAAGAGGTGTCCAGAAAAGGGTTCTGGAACTTTGAACATAGAGCTGTGCTGTCCTTCCTGACCACATGGCCTTCTCCTGCATTCTTCCATTCCCAGCAAGTTGTCTTTCCATTTGGGTGGCGGGTCCAGGTGTCCTGCACCGTGGCCTGCAACATGTTGGTGTGACTTAGAGGAAGCCATGGCCATGGAGGAAAGAGAACAGACCTTCTCTTTTCCCACACCTGTCAACCTCCACACTGTTGCTCACAGCATGTCTTCCTCCTGGTGTCTCTTCTTCCATTTCTCTGTCTTCACTAACCCAGGCCTAAAGCACAGGCCACGAGGCCCAGCTGACTGATGGACTAGCTAGATGGAGAGTCTGGCACCAGAAGACTAATTTCCTGCAGGTTTTAGCCCCCAGAAGAATCATGTGGCCCAGCCACATGGCTTCTAGAGCCACTGACGAGTTGTCAACACTCTTTCTGAGGAAAATGAAGGCATCAACAGAGGCTGAGCCCTGAGGGACTTGGAGAAGGCCGAACATCTGTCTCTGATATCTGCTGGCCAAGGACCAGTGTGCTCCCCAGGGCGAGAGGGGAGGGGCTGCTTTGCCAGAAAGGCCTGGCTTGTTGTTCTAGGCTGAGCAGGACAATGCTATGGCTGGTGTCTAGCAGCCATGCCAGTGTCTCATAGGCTTTTGGGCGGATGAATAAATAAAGAAATGGAGCTCTTACTACATACTACATCCCCTACTGTGGAAGGGATGATTGGCAGCCCTGACAGCACAGGCCACACTCAGCCACAAGAAAGGCAACCCTGCAGGCTTCCAAGTGGAGGGGAATACAGAGAGCTGGGACCCAGAGGGGTTATTCTGGAAGCATGGCCCTCTCAGGCATCTCTTCATTCCTTGAACATGGGAAAGAATGTCAGACACTGTTGTACCAACACACACATATTTGTTCATACAGTGAATGAATGGATGGTGGAATGAGCTGAGAGGCAGTAGAGTTATGGTGATATGAATATGGGTCCAGAAGTCAGACAGCCAGGACAACTTGGGCTGGATCCCTCTTCTGCCACTCTCCAGCTGGGCGGCTCTATAACTAGCAAGTGACTTGGCCTCTCTGAGACTCAGTTTCGAAATTGGTAACATGAGGGTAATATTTTTATTGTCCATACACAGACACTTTTGAGAGTGAAAGCTCATATATAATTAAGAGTCAGAATAACTACCAGGTGTGGGGCAGTCTGCCCTAACCATGAACCTGGAATGTCCTGGAAAAAACCAAGACATGTTCACTTTGTGAGGTGCCTCCTGTGGCTCCCAAACCCCTCGACACCCTCTCAGACACAGATCCCACAGTGTTCTCATGGGCAAGTCTGACTCCCCACTGGGCTGCAAGCTCCACCCATGGCAGCAGACACAGTCTGAGGATGCTCTATGGCCCCCTAGCTCGATATAGGGTTGGACCAGTGGGAGTTCTCAGAAGGTGTCTGTTGGATGAATGGGGTGAAGAAAAAGGATGAGGCCATTGGGGCCTCTGATGCATGAAGACAGCACTCAACTCTCATACCTGACCCAGTCCTGGTCGTGGGTCAGGGAAGCCCACACTGAGGTCACACCCACAGCCCCAGCCCATCTTCTCACCCCCTGATCTCAGACCCATCGCTCTAGGGCCCTGGGGGCCTGACGTATCCTCTTTAAAATCTTGTCGTGTGTCCTGCACTTAAATTTGTCACAGAAGATTTAGGGCTGCCAAAAAGTCTAATGACATCATTAATTTGCTCCCATCCCCACCCAGGACCCACAGGACCCACCCTTGGCATTGAGCAAAGGCTCATCAGCATGAAACAGGCAGAGACTATTGGCAGCCACTGGGCAGCCCAGGGAACTTGGGTGTCTCACCCAACTCCTTTGTAGCTTCAATGTTCAACTTTCTGATGTTAAATGTTCTTTAGCTTCCTAAGGAATGAATGGAGATTCGCTTTTCTGCACATGCACACTCTTGTCAGCAAGCAGAGGAGGCCTTTCTGGTTCTCTGAAGGCTCTGAAGGTCATCTCTTCGTCATCTCCGTCTCTGCCCATGCTTACTGTGACCACTGCCATCACAGCTCCATGCCCCAGGCTAGTCGTACGAAGCTGACATTTAGTTGTGACTTCTTTTGTGTCATGTACTGTGCTATGCATTTTCCAAAACTGATCTTACTTAATCCCTACAATGACATAGGCAGCCCACCTGCCAGAGACAGATCACAGAAAATCTGAGCTTGCCATCTCCTAAGGCCACCCCATTCCCCCTCCCTCAGCTTAGTGTCAGCCACGGCCTGGCGAGGCTCTGTCCTGCCGCCCCTCCCCCCAGCCCGGCCACACCATGGCCTGGACATCTCAGGTGGTGACCAGGTCCCCTCTTCAACACAGCTCTGTCTGCTCAGGGCTCACCAGCCTCTCCCTAATGGAGGAAGCAGGGCAGGGCTCTGTCACAAAGGGAATGGCTGGTGGGATGCCTATGAGCCTAGTGGTATCGCAGTTCTCTCCTCCCTCCTTCTTCACCATGATAGTCAGAGCTCTCAGAATCTGAGCCTCCTGTGGCCAGGTCTCTGGATCCCTTCTCCCTCCTTCTCTACACCAAACCATGCACAATGTGTGTCTTACTACATTCGTTCATGCACCAGTTGCTCACCGATGCACACTTGTGCCAGGCCCTGTGCTGGCACTGGGACCGAGATGAGCACCACACCCTTGCTCTCAGGAGCGCTGGCTCCAGTGGGGTGGCGCATGGGCAGAATGACACAGCCTAGGCCCCAGCTGTGCCTCCAATGCAAACTCTCACCCTCCTCCTGGTAGAGCCATGCTCAGCCTCTCGGGGTCCCACCCACTGTCTGCCCAGCCTATGGGTGGTTTTTCCTTTAGGCTTTAAAACAAGGCAGAATGCCCTGGGCTAGACTCCAGCCCACCCTCTGGTCTGAGTAACTGTGGGCTTTTTCTCTCCCTGGGCTTTAATTTCACTAGATGCTGACTGACACCCTGTTCTTCAGGCTAAGCTTCAGGGTCTACACACATCAGGCTCAAATACCGCTCTTCATAACCTGATAACCCAACAGATAATGAGTGGTGTGGCCTTGGGCAAGTCTCCTCCCCTCTCTGAGCCTCAGTGTCCCCATAGAATGGGGATCCCAATGCTCCTGCTTACCATGGTTGGAGAAAAGATTGTGCTTGGCACACAGTAGGCGTCTAATAAATGCCAGGTGGGTTCACATGGGCCTGGCCTTGGGAACTAGCGAGCAGAGGCTGTCCGGGCTGAAGAAGGGGAGCCTCACCTGTGACGTGTCGTGGTTGAAGATGACGGCATTGAGGTCCCCGCAGTTGTAGTGCTTGATGAGGTCCTCCGTGGTGTAGGGCGCCTGCAGGCTCCCAGCCCGCACGCTCTCGTGCTGCAGCAGGGTCTGGTTCAGGGCAAACAGCACCTGGGCAGAGGGAAGAAAGAGAAATAAGCGCTGTGCTCAGGGACCTGGCTGAGGTCCCCGACACCTCCAGGACTGGCGGTCCTCCCTCTGGACTTTGGGGCAACAGGCCCTGAAACAGAGAAGGTGTGTGGGGCCGGCACCAGCTGGCGCAGTCTGAGCGTTTCCACATTTCCCGCTCCTTACTCACCGGCCTCTGAACACGTGCAGCCTGTTCCCGTCCCCAGCCCTCTGCCCACACCGTCCCCACTCCTGCGAAAAATATTAACATCTTTTTTTAAAAAAATGTTTTTTAAAAAATTGATTCTAGAGAGAGGGGAAGAAAAAGTGTGTGTGTGTGGGAGGGGGGAGAGACATCGATCTGCCGCCTCCTGCATGCCCCCCACCAAGATCGAGCAGCCAGCAACCCGGGCATGTGCCTTGACCAGGAATCAAACTGGCGACCTCTCGATGCATGGGACGATGTTCAACCAACTGCGCCACAGGGTTGAGTATTAACATCTTATCTAATGATGTGACAAAATGAGAACCCTAATTGTGTCTGGGTTTTGGAATGATGGGTAAGTTTTCCTTTGGGCTCTTCTTTTCCTGTGTTTAGGAAAGTTCTAGAATGAGCACAGACTCACTTTGTAATCAGGAGCACCCCTCAAACAAAGCAAACAAATGACCAAAACAAGCTTAGATGTCAAGGCCTAACCCAAATGCCACCTGCTCCAGAAGCCATCCTCACACCAGGCAAAGGCCTAGGAGCTGGGCCCCCAGGGCCGACCCGTGCCCCCCAGGTCAGACACATTCACACGTGTTTCCTCAAGGGCCTCTATGCTGGGCCCTGGGGGCACCGCTGTCACCCAGGCCAACCTGCCAGGCACCGGGACCACTTGGAGTGCTACCGAATATCAGACGCCCAGCTCCCACCCCTGGAATTGGAATCTAAGGTGGAGCCAGAATGTGGGTTTTAACAGGCTCCCTGGAACTTCTCCACAGCCCAATGGCTCCTGGTGTTTGAAGACCAGGTGTCTAATGGAACGTGGCCCACCTGAGGTCTGAGAGCCCTGAGATATGATCTAAAAGGTCCCCTTTTAGATGGGAAATGGAGGCCCGTGAGGGGAAGGGACTTGCTCAGTTTCACACAGTGACTGTATCCCCGACTCCCTTGGCCAACAAATAGGAGGAGCTGGACATTATTTGAGTTATTTAGCACAGATATAGGGAAAAACTTGTTGCATGTCTTGTGCAAAACATCAGGAGGTGATCTTGGGCTACCTGGCCCGTCAGTCCTCAGGCCCTGCTTATTCTGTTTGCACAGTCTGTTGGATGACAGTCCCCCAGCCTCTTGATCCACACCAATTCAGGCCCAGGCATCTCTCACTGGGTCCACTGCATTAGCCACTCCCATGCTGTCCCTACAGACCTCCCATCTAGCCCATTTTCTTCTGCCACTGTCATCTTTTAAAAGCACAAGTCTGATGGTCTCCTCTTTCTTGCTCAAAACTTTCCTGGGTGTCTCCTGCCCTCCCATAAAGGCCTAGCTCTTCAAGGGAGTCTGCAAGGCAGTGACCTGGACCCTGCTGTGGTCAATGACTATGTTTTCTACCCAGCCCTTGTGTCCTCAAGTGCTCAACTATGCAGCCATCTCTGTGCCCTGTACATGCTATTTCCTGTGCATTCCACCTCCATTCTCCACTTGCAAATTCAGACTTGGCGTATAGGCTCAGCTCAGGTCTCTCCTCCACTAAACTTCTCTGAGCCCCCCATGGGACTCCCAAAGTCTCCTTGTATCCATGCCCTTGTCCCTGGAACTCAGTAGCTCCCTCCCATTCTGATTCTGGACTTTCCCTATAGTCAATGGGATGTTAGCAACTAGTTCAAGTAGCGGCCTGAAAAGCTCTAATGTGCTTCTGCTGCCCCTTACTCCCCCACTACTGCCCCGAAGGTGGCCCAGGCTAGTCTGCGGGGGTGAGACATGGAGGGCAGAGCCACATTGCTTCAGTTGTCCCACCAAGACCATCCTCGCCCAGCCAACAGCCAGGCAGCTTCCAGACATGCAAGCAAGCCCAGCAGAGCCCACTTGCAACTGGGCCCAGATAGCTGAGCAAACGCTCACCGCCGTCGCCACACAGCACAGTTGTGGCGACACGTTCCTCCATGTTTCCCTCCACTACAGCGTGAACATGAGAATGTAATGCTGTCTCTCCCAATAGGCTATGAGCTTCTTGAAGACAGGAAGTGCCCCTTACGCATTTTGTGTTTGTAATACTCAGCATGGGACCTGGAAAAGACAGCATGCTACCCCACCCTCTCCTTAGCACTTTGATAGCTGCTGTGGTCACTTCATAATTCAAGGCTGCTTGGTAATCCCTCAGACTAGCCCCTAGAATGTTGGCACCCTCTCTGCATTTGGGGCACACCAGGACCACATGGCAGAAGTTCCCACCAAGTGGTGTCACTACATGGTTCCAGACAGAAAAGCTCATGCAATAGGTACACAGAATCTGCCCAAAATTCTGTCATGGGCAATGGGGCCAAGCTGTGCTTGTTAGATCAGCTCCACCCATCCCCTCCCACAGTTGTTTCTGGCGGTGAGGAGAGCTGGATTGAGCTTGGATGCAGCAGCCCAGGCTGCTCCCCCTAATGAGCTGGCTGGAGATGAGGTCAGACCCCACCACCCCACCTCTGGGCCTTCTCCAGGCTCTGGCCACTACCCCTGCAATTCGATCTGCGGCCACCTGGTGCAGGGTGTTGATGGCAGCATGGTGGCTGGGGATGGATCGCAGGAGGCAGTGGACCTGTTGCTGAGGACATTGCTAAGGCAACAGGCACTTCCTCCCACATGGCACATGCCTTGGATGAAAGCATCCGTGTCAAGCTGGAACGCTCTGCTTTCCTCCTCTGGGGGCTGAGACACACAGACCTCCTGTGACCACACCCTGTTGCTGCACACACCTGCCTGGTGCTTCTCAGCGTAGGCCTGGCCGAGCACCACTTGGCTTGTGATGAGGTCATCTGCCCAGGCACCCAGAAGACACGCCTGGAGGAGAAATGGCTCCCTTGGACCTTCTTAGCCACACGAAGTCATTTCCTCAGTCACACGGCCCTCACGGAGCCTGGAGGTACTCTAGTGAATTAAGCACTTACAATCTGCAGGGCGTGAAGAACAATTCTGGCAGTAGAAAGTGCTGGCTAAATGCTGGCTAAATGACACTTGGAAGAACAGACTTAGACCTTAACTTTTCTTGATTGGAGCTGGATGGGACCCTGGATGTCATCGGGTCCAGTGGTTTTCCAAACCTTTTTTAGCCATGGGATCCCTTCTTTGTTGTTATTGTTTTCCAGAGGAATCTTACTTGGAATTCAAAATGTGGAGCAGATAAAAATAGAAACCTCCCTGATTGACATAAGGGAGGCAGGCTGGAGCCTGAAGTCCTGCTATTTCAATGTCCCCTGCAGCAGGGACTCCCAAAGCTTCTCCATGGAACTCACAGGTACCCTGGAGCCCAGTTTGAGAACCACTGATCATCCCATGCCCTCAACACATAGAAGAGAAGAGGAGATAGGAGCCCAAAGTGGGCAGGATGGGGCTCACCTGAGGCCGCACTGTGAGTTGGGGTGGAGTGGGCTCACAACCCACTCTCCTGACACCCAGCCCGGGGTGCTATGCAGTCCCTTGGACCTCTGGGGCAGGATTTCCAGCTGTCCATTGGCACAGTCCACGTTCATCCTGCACACATGGCCACACCCATGTTCTTTCTGGAGCCTTGTGGAATAGCCGGAAATGGCCAGGAAGTATTTATTATTAGCTTGTTACAGATAGACAACTGAGGCCAGAACACTGAGAGGCATCCAGCGGAGTATGGTGGGTTGGGACTGAAACCTGAGCCTGTCATCTAGAGACTCCCCCTACCTCTGGGTGGGGTTGGTGCTTCCCTTGGTCTTGGCACTTATCCCACTGAAGTGTCCTCGTCAGATCATCCCCTTCGCTCTGCTTGTCTAGACCGAGAGCTCTGCAAGGGCAGGAAGCCTGCCCCTCTGTTCACTGTTGAACTGCAGACATTCAGGAACTGCTTCAGGTAGAAGGAGGCTGACTCTGAATCCTGGGCCCTTTCCCCCAAACCTCCCACCTCGGATCCATCCTTTGCCACTTACGAAGCAGTCCTCACCAAGCCATTATTAGGATCACTATGTTTACTGAGCACTTACTATGTGTCAGGAACCCTTTAAACTCATATTAATTTAGTTAATCTTTATCATAATTCTGAGGTAGGTCTAGTACTAGTCCTATAGATTTTTAAAAATCCAAACAAATAACAAAGAGACATTAACTCATCAAAGGTGACAAAACTGGGGGGGTATGTGCACTTGCACGTTGGCAGTCTACCAAGGACCGTCCTCTTGGTTTACCAATGCTCACCAGAGCTGCCCTCTGCTCTCTGTGGGAGACCGCCAGCAGCGATAGTGTCCCTATTACAAACAGGACACCAAGAAGCAGAGGGGAAGGACAGGCCCAAGGCCACATAGCTTGTAAAGGAAGAGCTAGGATTTGAGGTCATGTCTGTCTGGCTCCAGAACAGGTCCTCATGACCAGGACTTCAAAATAAAATGTGCTCCATCCTGAGCATTCTTGGTGCTTCCAATAGACACAGGGAAGCTACGCTCATTCATTCATTGAACAAACATTTACCTTCTGCCGATTCTCTGCAGGGATCTGGGATTGATGGATTAATTGGGCATGGTTTTCACCCACATGGATCTCATTTTAGAGACCGATTTGCCAACTGGCCATGCCAGTAGAGGGTGGTTAAGTGGGGCTCGAGGCCCTGTGTAGAAGCACCACCTTGCTTCTCTCCCATTCACCCTGAATTCCCAAGCCTGCCCTGCTCACAGGCTCCCAGGCCTTGGTGCCTTCTGCTCCCGGCCACTTTAGCCTAACATACCCTCCTCGCCCGGAGCCTCGGTGGCCCACTCTAGGATAATGTTTATGATAAGGCTTTGACATGGAATAACAA